CCCCACCAGCCCCCCACTGTTACCCCCTGGGCCCCTGCTGCTCCCCCAGGCCCCTGCTACCCCTCCAAGGTCCCTGCGAACCCCTGTCCCTGCAACCCCACAGGTCCCTATACCCCTACAGGTGGAAGAAGCCAGGGCTAAGTCCAGAGGCCACTACTGAGGCATCCACAGACCCCTCAGGCTGGAAGGAGGCTGAGGATGGTGGTCAGGGGACTGGTGCCACCCACAGGTTACATCCCCACCTGCAGGCTAGATAGGGCCCCCTCAGGCTGGCCGTGAACCTGCTGGACTTGCTGCTAGCTGGGAGGCATATATGGGAGATGGGGACAGAGGAAAGGGGGGGCTGAGCATGACATCAGCAAAGGGCTTTCTTTTTCACTGTTTCAAAGATGGCCCAGATAATGGCCTCAAAGGTGCAGGGTGGGCAATCACCTGCACAGAGTGGCCTTCCTGAGCAAGCAGGTATTGTCCACCAAGGCGTGAGGCCCACAGGCAGTGAGGGGAATAGATGTCACACAGCTCCACGGTGTGGCCTTGCCAGCCTGACTGCACCCAGGCAAGGTCAGCATACAACACACAGGGCTGAGGCCTCTGCCATGCAGATCTCTGGGCAGCTACCCTCGGTCCTGCTGGCTCTTCCATGAGGCTGCAGGACCCCGAGGACACGCTCGGGAAGCCACCCCAATGGGCACAGGATAGCTGAAGTCTGTGGGTGACCCTGGCTCCACAGAGAATGCTGGACACACCATGCTTTGGGGCACCTGCGCATGGGAGTAGCAGTGCTGGGCGCGAGAGACACGTCCGCAGTGGGAAGAGGCCACACGCCCAGACGGATGGTGGGGCCGCCCCCAGCTGATTTTTTGAGGCAAAGGAATATGGGCCGCACAATTCAGATACAGGAACGATTCATCCAAGATTAAGGAAAACTGTCTAAACAGTTTATCTCCCAGTAATAAGAAGGCGTCACAGTTTAGGAACCCAGCGAATGGAGCAATTGTTTAAACACAACGGAAAAACGCCGGCGCCCAGTAGAGACGGAATGAGCATCTCAGTAAAATGAAGGAGCAATTTAAAGGCCTTTGAAGAAAATCAATAGACGCTGGGCCGTGAGGCCTTCCTGGGCCTCACGGCCCCGGAGCGCCGCACGCATTGTCACTGGGGTGAGCACAGGGAAAAGAAAATTGCCCCGCGCGCGGGAGGCGGGATCGATACTGTAGTTAGTAAGAGATGCTATTTCACATCTGACTGGCCAGGCCAGCGTGGCCCGCGGCCGATACCTGTTTGTTAACAAGTCACCAAAGGCTGCAGAACCAGATACTCTTCAGGGTTGACACAAAAAATAGGCACTTAATTTGCTCCTGAGTGGGAGCCAGCGGGGAGGCCTTGCCCAGAGATGGGTAGTTCAGGGCCTCCCTGCTGGGCAGGGCCAGGACCATTCCTGGGTCCCAGGCTCCACATCTGTCTCTTAGGACCAGAATGAGAATGTCCATGGACAATGGCAAAAGCGCCAGCCTTGCTCCCAGACTCGGTGCCACGTACTCCCTGAGGTCAGGACTGCGACGCGTCCTCCCCTCCGAAGGGAGGGAGCCCAAGGCTGGCTCGGCCTCCAAACACACATCCTACCTGAAAACAGACTTAAACCCCAGCAGGAGCAAGACAGAGCAATGGCGCCACCATGGCAGCTCCGGTGTGACCTGCCCCCACTTGCTGTCCAGAGGCCTCTGGGGAGGTGGCGGCCAGGGCAGGTGCCCTGAAGATGGCAGCCATGAGAATCCAAGATGGACTGAACCAGCAACCCCTGCAAGAATGCTGCAAAGGGGGTGGGACGTGGGCAAGCACAAGGCAAGGGGACTGGGAGAAACAGCAAGCTGGGTTCCTGCAATGAACTTTTACCTTTTCTTGCCTCGATTCCTTCATCTGCTTAAAAAAAACAATTAGGAGCCCAGAACCCAACGATGAAACCATACGTGCTGGCTTCTGGACCATCAGTATATCCCAACCCCATAGCAGCCTTGGGAAAACGGGGTCCCTCTTGAAGCTGGAGCACCCCGTCAAGCCCCCCAAGACAAGGACAGCCCTTCCCCGCCTGCTTCTATTGAAGAGCTGTGGCTTTACAGATCCAGCAGGCAGCACAGGCACCCCATGACCGTGTCCCCCACGTGCTACCTGCCTGCCCAGACCTACCTGGGCACTCCTGCTTCTGCAACTGCTGCCTCTGCTCCCGGGCCTGGTCGTCCGGGTCAGTGGGTCTGCCTTGGTCATCTCTGGGGATGATCTTCCCATGGAAGGGGCACTGCACAGCCAAGACGGGATGCCAGTGGTGGAAGGGATGACACACGGGCACACAGTCATCGAGGAGGGGACATCACAGAGCCAAGGAGTGCACTACCCTTCATCCACACCTTCATGCGGGCTCCCATGAACCACAGGGAGGAATGGGGTGGGGGCTCTGGCCTCCCTCCGGGATCTGGGAGTGTATAGGGACCTGGGTTTGTTCCGCTTCCCTCTGCACTGTCCCAACTGCAGCCTGGAGCTGCCATCTGGCACCCCAACCCCCTCGCTGCCCCCACCATGCCTCTTGCCCACTAAACCCTGCAATGGGAGATGCATGTGCTTCTCCCCTCTGAGGAGTCTGGCCCAGCAAGGCAGGACGGAGGTACCATGGGAGGAGGTGTCTCCACCCTGGCAGAGCTTCCCAAGGTCCCCTGGAGTACCCAAAGGTAGAATCTAGGCCTAGGTGGGGGACCCAGACACAGTTCTCCCATTGACAAAGGTGAGGCAACTTCTGCCAATTGCAGCCACGCCCCTTTTATGGGGCACTCCTCTGGCTACCTGCCCTGGCTCAGTTGTCTGCCTCCCACCCAATCCACCCACAGTGATCTCACCTTCAGGCGGTCCTGGCGCTCACAAAGCCGGCCATCAGGCCTTGGAGCGCGACACTGGTGCTGCACAGGTTCAAACCTCCCTGGGAAGAGGATGTGCCGGCTCCGGAACATCTCGGAGACGTAGGCATTGTCCACCTCCTCCTCTATCTCACAGGGCTTCCAGAACCGGTGCTGAGAGTCAGCCCTACAGAGAACCCAGAGGCAGGTTCAGAGCATCTTTAGGGACCAAGGAGCGTGGTCAACTCATCCAGGTGTGAGGAGCAGCCAAGCCCTGCTGCACCCTGCCACCCCTGAGCAGAGTCGCTCCAGGCTGGGTATGAATCCTGACACCTATGAACCAGCCACAGGACCGTGGGCAAAGCCACCACCTGACACCCAGATATTCCTGTGGTGGGGATGACAACTGCTGGGCCCTCGAGGTGTGACCTTGAGAGTAATGGGAGATCCACATGAAGGTCACCTTCACCACCAAGGGGATGTGAACACAGGGCCAGCACACTGAGGGAGAAGCAGGTGGAGATGCACCACCAGCTGCAGCAACAGTGCCGAAGGAGCCACACAGAGCATGGTCCTCCCTGCCTCCCACTTCTGCTCCATCACCCAGCCTCGTTCAAGATGCTTTTTGGGTGAAGCCAGAGGAGGGCACAGGGCCCCCTCACCTGGATGGTCTGATGGGGAGTGGCATGAGAGCTCCTCACATAGAACTGCTGTGACTGGTGCTGGCATTCAGGGCTTCCTTCCGTGGCACACTGCAGGGGATGCTAGGCACCAAGGAGGCCAGTCAGGCAGGTATAAAGGCTCCCTGGTGACCATGAGCCCATCCCAGGCTTCCACACCACTGTCCCCAAGGGTCCTGGAGGAACAGAGCCCTGGCTCCCCACTGGCCTGCGGATAGGAAAGAGCACAACCCCAAGCAGAGCCCCTGCTGGGAGAGATAGACAACAGAAGGTACCACCCCTGGCGCCACTCAGACAGCCTGTTCTGCTTCCATCTTGGGCTGAGCGAGGAGGTCCCACATTTGCAAGGTTCCCCAGATGGGGAGTAGGTGGGGAATGGCCAGAATATGCTGCCCTGGCATTGCCCTGATTTTCCCCAAGGGAGAGGCAGCTTGGGCAGAGCCTCAATGGTGGGCTGGAGAGAACCCAGCAATAGGCCTGTGGCCTGGGATGAGGATGCACCTCCATGACACCTCCTGCTGGGCCACGACAAGGCCTAGCCTTGAAGTGGGGACACCCTCTGTCATCTGAAGCACGGACTGGACAAGACGCCTCTGATGGGGAGGCTCAGGGATCAGTTCTGGGCCTCCTGCAAGAGGGTGGGGCTGCCTACTTCACACGTGCCTGGGTTCCCCTCAGCCCCTCAACCTCTGCAACAAGCTAGCTTTGTCCAGCCACCAGGCACCACACAGGGAAGTGGCCCCTTCAGGGAGGCTGAAGTGGAAAGAGTAGGTTCCAGAGCCCAGGACCCCCAGCCTATGGCCCTATCCCCTCCCCACTTTTCTCCTCCCACGCGCCTGGCCAGATCGTGATCTTCTAGAGCCTTCCAGAGCCTGTTGGATGAAAGTGGTGAGTCTGGCACTCCACAAGGCCACCAAGTGCTGGCAGTGAGCCGGAGGGCTTGACCCTGACCATGGGGTAAAGGGCAAGGGGTGAGCGGTCCCCTGGAGGAGCGCTGTCCTTGGCAGCCCCAATACACACAAAGCTGGCCACCGGACACACGCAGTACTAGGAGCCGCCACCAGGTAGCAGCGCACACACCTCCACAGTGCTCCAACGGGGCCCTTGCCCAATGGGCTGTCCCACACGTTTGCCTCTCCTTGAGCCCTTGTCCGCCACCACAGTAGTTCTGTGGGTAGTCAGGCTCGGAGCTCTGCCCATTTTGGCATGGACCTACTCAGGGGCCTGGTGATGACGCAAGCGACTCAGGGGCATAAAGCCGGGCCCCAACGCGGGGCGTCCTGCACTGTTCACCATTGAGTCAGTCTCCCCACAAGCTCCTCAGGCCTCTCTCCAGGTCTAACCATGGCACTGAGTGCCAGGCTGGCAGGAGGGTAGGTGTCCCTCTAGCAGGGTCTTCTGGGGGGAGGGGGAGCCCACCAAGCCACTGAGCAACCCTCAGGTTCTGAAACCAAGTGTTGGCTTTTGGGCGCCCCAGGTGGCAGCCAGCGGTGCAACAGCTCCCACATAATCTCTCCCAGATCCTCCGAGCAACCCTGCCCTCTCCTCTGGCATCACCCACCCAGCCCCCACAAGGGTCCACGTCTTCGTGGCCTGGAAGGCCAGTGGTCTGAGCTGATGAGCTCAGCACCCTACAGTCTTGGTCCTGTAGTGAACAAGGGCAGTGTCTCATCTCTCACCATCCTGTCCTAATGGGGTAGCCCAGCAGACACCCAGAAGCAGAAGCAGCTGTTGGCAGTGGCCATGCTGGCGCAGGGACCCTTCACATTGTCCCCCGCACCCTCTTCAGAGGTCCTGACTTCAGCTCCTCACACAGGCGACCCTGCCACTCCTCATCACAGAGAGTTTTCCAGCCCTGCAGACCCATCATCAGCTTCTGTGTCTGTGGTGCTTGCGAACATAGCCTGGGCCCTTCACGCTGAGTGGTAGTGGGGCCTACGGAGACAGTTGCACTTCCAGTGTCCAAAGTCAGCCTCCTCCTGTTGTCACAGGTCCCACCCCTGGCTCTGCCTGTCAAAGACACCCTGGCCTGGGCCGTGATAGCTGTCCCGGCTGGCTGGACTCACCCAGGGGGACAGCTCGCCTGGTGGGCAGGGGTGGGCTCACCTGGAGGCGGCCTTCCCTCCCAGTCTCCCACAGCCCCCTTCCCACTGTAAGGACTGCTCTGGGCTGGGTGCTGAGGAGCAGCAAGGCTGCTCATCCCAGCTCCACTTCCACCCCCAGAGCAGCTGGCATGGCCCATCTGGGCCTAGAGGCTCAGGTGGCCTCTCGAGACCCAAGGATCTGGATTTGTGAGTGGACAAACCCCTGAGCGCCCCATGAAAGCTCCACAGAGAGGAAGCAGAGGCCAGCACAGTGAGAGGTGCAAAGGAGGCGTAAGAGGCAGCGGGCAGCCTCCCAGAAGAACCCTGCAGAGCCCCAGGCCTGAGGCCTGGGGGGTACAATCACCCTGAGGAGCCCCAGAGGATCAGGAAGCACCCAGCCTCAGCAGCTGCCCTCATGACACCGGACAAGCCGGCCAGGTCCACCACTAGGGAATGCTGTCTCTCTCTGGGCTACTTCTTCATGCTTTGCAATGCCCAACCTTCACAGATGCCCCGAAGAAGACACGGGAAGGCTCAGGAAAGCCCTGAGACCTGCTGGGCCCAGGGATCAGCTGTGTAGAGCCCAGTCTTGTGAGCCGGTTCAGTGGGGGAAGCCCAACCCTGCGCCCTGTCTCCCCAGAAGATGGGCAAAGGTGGGAGGCATAGCCAGCTTCCTGAGACTCAGAGAGGGCAAGCCTGCAGCTCCCTCCTCTGTCCAGACCCCTGCTGTGTGCCCTCCCCAATCTGAGATATACCAGGACTCACTTGAGAATCTTCCCGGCCGTTGGCTGCTCCTGGCCCCAGAAGCACAGATCTACCCCAAAGGGTACCACGGGTGCCCGGGCCCGCTCTGACGCCAACTTCTGGGCCTCCTCTGACCCCAGAATTGCCCTGGAGGGGCTATAAGAGAGGACAGAACATGTTGATTATGCACTGTTGGAGACAGCCGCAGCCACTGCCTCTTTCTCCTCACACCCTTCATGGCAGTCAGGAACCCTGAGGTCAGCACATGTGAGAGTGACTTCTGCTCACGTAGGGCCTGGGCTTCAGGGCCACCGACAAGTTCCTGTCCAGTGGATGGCCTCTGGTCTGTAGTCTTCCAACCCAGGGGTAACCTGACATCTGCCTCTCAAATCCCAGTACAGCTACCTGGCCTCAGGAGCTCCTCAGAGGGGCCACAGTGCCTAAAAGGACATCTGTTAGCCAGCCCCAACTGGATGTGGGCCACACACTGACGCTGAGGATCCTCCATGTGGCACAGACACCAGCAGGTGCCCACCTGGGCTGAGATGCCTCAGGTTTCCTTCAAGGGAGCCACCCAGTGCTTGGGCAGGGGCAGTGGCAGTTATAGACGAATTCAGCAACAGGACATCAGAGTCACCTGGCAGATGAGGGTGGGGGCAGGTAGCCCCGGAGCCGCCGCAGCTGGGCAGCAGCAGAGGTGGGGTCTGATGCCTCCTCATCCCTCCGCATCCTCATCCTTGCCTGTGAGCTCTGTACAGCTGAGCCTTTCTCCGGAGTTGGCTCCAGCCCTGAAACACACATGTCCACTCCTGGTCGTCATTCCACAATGCCCAGGCAGATCAACGTGACTGGCAGTCAGGATGTGATCCTACATTCATGCATTCCATCCCTCCACAGCCTGAGTTGGGTTTTGTACCTCCAGCTTAGGGACACAGGGGCTGGGGCACAAGCAGCCACTGCAGCCCAAGCTCTAGAATGTGGCAGATGCGATGTGAATCCCAGCAGTCCCAGCCCGTGTCTGCACAGCACACGGTGCTGTCTAGCTTCAAAGAAGCACCACCACCCAGACCCCAATGGATTCACCAGGCTGACCAGGAGCACAGCAGCAGAGAGAACCTAGCATGCCCACACAGTGTGCCCACAGCCCTGTCAGTCATCCATGCAGGACTGGCAGTGGGAAGTGGGCAAACTGCAGTTCTCCCAGCTCAGACCTATAGCAGATGAACAGGCCTTCAAGGTCCCAGCCCAGGCACACACAGCAGGCAGCAGCCACTCAGAAGGGCCACCCACAGGGGCCCCAGGACACACAGGCCCCCCCCCCCCGGCTGAACTAGTGCAAGAGAGAAAAGGAGACGCACATTTCCAGACAGGACTCCATCCCACATCTCCAGTCAAGGTGACGCCACAGTTCGGCTGCGATTCTGGCAGTGCACTTTCCACTCCTGCCATGCCCAGCCCCATATCTGTGAGATGCCCGGGGCTGCTCCACAGCTTCAGCAGAGAACTCTGAAAGCCACAAGGTAGCCAGAACCGAGCCCTGGCCCTGGCAACACCCTCCCTCTGGCTGCTGGGAAGAGGCTGAGCTCCCACTAACAAGACGCCAGCATGGAGTGCCCACCATGGAGCATCCACCCAGTCATGCCCAACCTGCCACTAGCTAGATAAGGCCATGGCACTGCATCTCATCAACATCCCCACAGGAGACAGTAGGGACAAGGCCAGACATTCTGACCTCTGCAGCCCAGCGTCTATCCCCTCATCCCCAGGGTAGGACAGGGACAGACTCTCCAACACTACTGAATCCTGAGCCGTCCCTGCCATCCAAGGAAGGCCTTGCGTCTGGCTCTCATGCTGCCCCCGCGGGCCCGCTCCAACCACCATCAGCACCTCTCCGGGCACAGGTTTATGTTCTCCCATTGCTGTCTAAGCCGAGGTCCCGAGGCTCTGACAGCAGAGATCATAGAAGGTGCTGGGCAGCGTATGGATTAGGACATAGGCACCACCTGCCTCTCCAAACTCATTGCAGGAGCGGCCAAGGCATGAACTTGAGTCCTCCCTCCCCAGTGTACTGCTGGCCAGGGAGGCACAGAACCCCAGTGGAGCATGAAGTGGCAGGGAAGCCAGACTTCTGCCCACAGGCAGAGTACACAAACACAACCAGAAGGGAAATAAGTACATCGTGTTCTCTAGAAGCTAAAGGAGCACACACTGGAGGCAGAAAGCAGTCATAGGAGGTGAGAGGGGGGAAGAGAATAATGAAGGCTTCTAAGCAGGTGAGAGCATTATAATCCAGAGGGATCGGCCATGGCACGTGGGAGCTACAGGTGACCTCAGAGGAAACCAGGGAGGAAGCAGGGGGAATTCCAGAGTATGAAGGGAAGACATGCAGGTATCAACATCCAATGCCCTCATTTCCAGAATCCCAGAAGGAGAGAAAAAAATCACTGGAGTGGAGGATGCAGAGGACATAATGAGACCAATTTTCCTGGAAACAGAGGCTCACAGAGCATCAGAGGAGACAGAGGATGAACCATGTGTTAGAGATGTTACAGGAAAATTGAAGTGTGTTAAAGACACAGAGAAAAGTCTAAAAAGTTTCCAAAGAGAAAAAGCTGATACTTTCAAAGAAACAAAAACCCTGCTGACATCAGCATTTGTAACAGTAAGCGTGAACACAAGACCTTGGAAGATCATGTTGAAAGCACTAAAGGAAAAGAAATTTGAGCTCACAATTTTGTATCCAGCCGAACTACCACCTCAGTGTGCCATGAAGGATGAAGACCTTATGTCCACAAGACCTCATGAGGTCACCACAGGAAGGTCAGCCTTGAAAGCCCCTTCAGGGAGAACAGTCCACCCAGAAGAAAAGTCAGCTAAGGGGGTGAGGCAGGAGGCAGAACATAAAACGAGTACATGACTTCGTAAAGTTCACTGTCGCCTCCCATCCCCCAAGCCTGAGTATCCTCAACAATCCAACTTCAGATGGTGTCTGGATGATCCAATATTACAGGGTGAAAGGAGGTCTCCATGGAGAGAGGAGGCTAAGTCATTTGACTCATGCAGGAGACAGTCTAGAAATGGGAAAACTATAGAAATAAACAGTGAATGGTAAATATATGTGTAAGTCTTTAAAAAATTAGGAACCATTAGAAGAATTAAAAGAACACTTTTAAAACCAGAAGAAAATTTGGGCTAGAAAATAAAATGTGGGAAAAAGAAGAAAATAAAACAATACCAGTAGCAAACCAAAGATGAACAGAAGCATGCAACAGGTTGACTGAATAGGTCTAAAAATATAGTAGTAACTATCAACTACATGGATTGAAATCAGTGACAGGCCAGACTCTGATTGCATTATATATTTAGCAGCCGGGCTCGGTGGCTCAGCCTGTAATCCCGCGCCTTTGGGAGGCTGAGGTGAGTGGATTGCCTGAGCCCGCGGGTTCGAGACCCGCCTGGGCAGTGAGACCTCATCTCCACAATAAATCAAAAAATCAGCCGGGCGTGGTAGTGCGCGCCTGTAGTTCTGGCTACTCGGAAGGCTGAGGCGGAAGGATCGCCGGAGCCCAGCAGGTTGAGGCTGTGGTGGCTGGGAGCGGCCACTGCACTCCAGTCTGGACGACTGAGTGAGACTCCAACTCAAAACAAAAACAAAAACAAAAAAGAAAGACTAAAAACAGAAGGATGAAAAAAAATTTACTACACAAACAAGAACCAAAAGATGAGATAATATGTTAGGATTTTAAAATAAAGAGATTTTGGCCAGGTACAGTGGCTCATGCCTGTAGTCCCAGTATTTTGGGAGGCTGAGGTCAGAGAACTGCCTGAGTCCAGAGGTTCAAGACCAGCCTGGGCAACTTGGCAAGACCTCATCTCTACAATAAATCAAAAAATTAGCCGGGCAGGGTGGCATGCACCTATAGTTCCAGCCACTTGGAAGGTTGAGGTGGAAGGATCACCTGAGCCCAGCAGGTCGAAGCTGTGGTGGCCGTGAGCATGCCACTGCACATTCCAGCCTGGGTGACAGAGTGAGACTCTGACTCAAAAACAAAATAAAGTGAAACAAATTTTTTTTAAAAAAGAGAGATTTTAAGTTAAACAAGGAGCATAAAACAATACGTGAAGGTGTGATAAATGTGAACAGACATAGGACAGGTGCAGTGGCTCATGCCTATAATCCTAATACTTTGGGAAGCTGAGGAGGGAGAATAGCTTGAGCCCAGGTGTTCAAGACCAGCCTGAGCAACATAGTAAGATTTCGTCTTTACCCCCCCCCAAAAAAAATTAGCTAGGTATGGTGGTGCATGCCTGTAGTCCCAGCTACTTGGGAAGCTGAGGCAGAAGGATCACTTGAGCCCAGGATGTCAAGGCTGCAGTGAGCCATGACTGTGTCACTTGTACTCCAGCCTGGGTGACAAAGCAAGAACCTGTCTCAAAAAAAAAAAAAAAAAGGGAGGAGAGACATGCAACTTATAACTAGTTTCAAAACGCATAAAGCCATTGGTGAGGGACTACAGAAGAACTGGGGTACCCACAGCTGGATGGGGGCTCAGCAGACCCTCTCAGAAAGTAGCTATTAGACAAAGAATTAGCCAAACTGGGGGTGGTGGGACATGATACAAAAGACCAAACTAAGAGACACTGTGGGACTTCATGTCCAAAAGTCCTTTCCCAGTACATTTCCGAACTGACAGAAGACCACCAAGTACTACGTCATAAAAGGATCTCAGTCACTTCTGAAGACTCAGCATCATGCAGGCCATGTCTTTGGCCCACAGGGCAGTCAGAAGACATCTAGAGCAACTGAGGAGGTGACCAATTCAGTCTGTCCCTGAGACCCACGGAGGAGGGAAAAGGCTGTCTCTTTAAAGTGGGTCTCGGTCCAAGGACACCTCTGACTTGGGCCATCAGCCCTGAGCAGAAGTTGGCCTGACACAGCACAGACATGGCTGCCTCCATGTTTGTATATCAAGTTTTTATTGGCACCCAGCCACTTGTGTACATCCTGTCTGTGGTGGCTCTCACACTGCAATGGCAGTGTTGAAGAATTGCACCAAGGCCTCTGCGGCTGGCAAAGTCAAAACGATTCTGTGGTCCTTACAGGAAGCTCCTCTAGCATGCACTACTGTTCACCTGGGGCTGCTCCTCGTTCTTGGGCTCCAAGAGTAGAAGACACAGGACAGAGCCACTCGGAGGAGGTGATAGGGCTGGACCTTCAGCTACTGTGGAGCTGCCATACTCTGAGGCTCTTGGGCCAGGTTGCAGTGCACTTTTGGGAGACACCAGGCAGCCCCTACTGGGCTCTGGCATCCAACACAGCGCCCCAGGTTTAGCTCACAAAAACTGCCAGATGCCCCTCATTTTGGTGGTGCACCATGACTGACTGACACAGACACGCTGTCAGCACACGCGAGCAAGCGCACATGGTGAGGGAGACAAGACTGATAAGTGAACAATGTGACATTTAGATACAATCACAGTCAAAGATCAATATAAGAATTCCTAAGAGTTACAAGAATGAAATATATTTTTCATTGATTTGTTGTTTTAAACCATTAAAAAGATGGGTAAGCGTGTTAAAGCAGGGTAAATACTCAGGGCACTAAAAAACACTCCCATTTTCACATTGTTGTAGAAAATCAATCTCGCTGACATACTTTCAAAGTAAAAACCCAAAAAGCAGACAGCATTCCTTAGGCACCGAGTACCACATTTTCAGGAAGAATAATGACTCCTGGAGAAACAAGAGCCACATGTCATGGCTAAGCCCGACCGACACCCCCTCCACCTCCCCCCAAGCCCCCCCACGCATGTCTAACTGGAGTACAGTATCTCGGCTCAAATTCACTCCCACGGTTGCTTTTAAAAAGAATCATAAAAATGTCCAAATCCCCTTTTTTGTTTAAATTGACCAAGTGGCACCTATTTGCCTGAAGCACTAAAGCAGACAGTGCGGAGAGATAAATCGATAGCAGGAAATGGAGAGGCTGGGGCCTCCGCGCCAAGTTGGGCCGCCCAGCGCTGACATTATTGATTTTACCTAGTTCAGCTGGCCTTGTAATTAAAATGTAAATTTGAGAAAGAGATTATGTCCTGACAGAAATGGTAGGATTAAGGGGAAGATAAAAGCCCCTCAGTGAAAATTCAGAGAAAGAAATGAGAAAGAAAAAGAGCACCGGTTTCCTCAGCTGTGTGGATTTAGACTAAATCTAACGACTTCAGATTCACCTACATTTAATTGAAAAAACAGCAACAGAATATAAACTAGTATTATGAACTGAGCTTGCCCCCCCCAAAGTCTTCTATCAGGTCCTGCCGCCTCCAGGGCTCACGGGGCTTCCAAGGGCGCCTCCCTCCCTCATGAGGGGTGACCCACTCCCCATCCTCAAAAGGGAGTCCTGCCCTGGCCCAATGGTGGGCCCTCCTGGGAACAGCTCCTGTAGATGTATCACCACCTGGGACACAACCCTGGAGCCTGAGGTGCCCGGAAAGTCCGGCAGCCCTCGCTCATGGCTGATGGACGGTGCTGCACTCACACTCCCACCTGCGTCCTGCACTGACCACCTGTTTTCAACAGGCACTGTCCAGACAACGGGAGCAAGCAGCCCCAGTCAGACCCATGCTAGCCACTGCCACCTGCAGCCTGAAGGCAGAAGCTGTGAGGTCTTCCCACTCAAGAGGGAACTTGTGCCAATGTAACTACAAAGTACCCCTGCTGTGGGCTGAGTAGGGTAGACGCTGGCAGTCAGGCTTGCTTGTACCTGGCCCTCACAGACAAGTGGATGGTCACCAGGAGGCTGACCAAGGCTGGGAGCCTGGAGCACAGAGGTAACTGGTGCTTTAGTTCCTGCTGCCGTGTAACAGACCAACCAGAGCTTGGTGGTAGAACAGCAGCTACGGTCAGGCTTACAGATTTTATTCTTCTCTGTTCTGCGGGCCTGAGGCCTGAGCTGGAAGATGAGTAACCAGCTGGCAACATCTGGCAGTGTCCTCACTACGTCTGGTGCCAGGCTGGGCTGACTCACATGCGGGACTTGGCTGAGACCACCAAGCCCAGCAGCTCCCCATGACCCTCCGTGTGCCCTGGGCTTCCCAGAAGCAGGCTCAGTGGGGCCTTTCACGGCTCAGTCCCTTCTGCCGGACTCCACTGACCAATACTCTGAAGCCACCCAGGTTCAAGGCGGAAGACACAGCCACCTGGAAACAGGAGTGCCAAAGGAGATATGTAGCCCATCCCTGCTGGGCTTGCCCATTTCCTGGGGGTCAAGTCGTGGTGGCGTCAAGCAGCACTTGATGAACAGAGGCTATCACTGTCGTCGTCTCTGGCCACTCTCAAGACACAGGTTAAGGAGCCTAGTCACCTCTGATGAGGAAGCCCTTCTGCTCTCTGAGGAAGATTACCATGTCTGTTTGTCTATGTTCTCGGTGACTGAGACCCACATCAAGGCTTCAGGAGAAGATTTCTGCTTTTTTCATTTTGTTTTGCCAGAGTCTCACTCTGTCACTCAGGCTGGAGTGCAGTGGCATGATCACAGCTCACCGCAGCCTCGACCTCCTGGACTCACGTGATCCTTCCGCCTCAGCCTCCTGAGCACTTGGGACTAACAGGTGCACGCCATCATGCCTAGCTAATTTTTTTTTCAGTTTTTTGCAAAGGTGAGGTCTCCCTATGTTGCCCAGGATGGTCTCCAACTCCTGGGCTCAAGCAATCCTTCAGCCTCAGTCTTCCAAAGACAGGTGTGAACCACTGTGCCCAGTCAATTTCTGCTTTTTGAGACATCACCCATCTGTCCATGAGATGTGAAACTTGCACTCAAAGGACTCTGAAGCCATTGACAAAGGCACGTGCAGAGACCCAGGGCCAGAAAACTTCAGCAAAAGCCAAGGGTCAGTGCAGCTCCCAGAAGGAGCCAGACCCCACAGTTGCACATCCTTGCTGGGCACCTGGCCTGGGGTAGGGCAGAGGAGGCAACTGGCAGGCCCAGATGAGGCCTGGGTAGATGTGTGTTCAGCCTGGGATCCTCAGCTGCAGAACCTCAAGAAGTAACCAGGAACGAGCAGGCCATTCTCAGCCAGAGCAGCCTCAAACGTGGCCACTCTTCGACCGGCACCTCCCCAATACTGCGGCCACAGTCTGGTCCAGCTGAGGGCAGCAGAGAGCTGGGGGCAGTCACAGCACCCAACAGTAGTGCACCTTGTGTGGGGTCAGGGACTCAGCCATGGCCACCTGGGTGAGGCACTGGCTGCAGAGGCTCCACCCTAGGTGAGGAAACAGTGTGAGCCAGGACACAGCACAGAGGCTGCTTCAGGTGGAGACTGGTGTCTGGAAAAGAATGGGGTGTGTGGGGTGGGGGAGGTCAGGTGCCCCCACAAGGGCACGGCTAGGACCAAGGTTCAGAATACTAGTCTATATTCTGTTGCTGCTTTTCAGTTAAACGTAGGTGAATGTGAAGTCATTAGATTTAGTCTAAACTCGCACAGCTGAGGAAACTGTAGCTACTGTTCTACCACTGAGCTCCAAGTGGTTTGTTATATGGTCATCCACAAGGTCCGGTGGAGCTGGTCACTCAGGCTGTCCCTGCCCAGTGGGGAGCCCCCTGGAGGGCAGGAAACAGGTCCCAGTTGATGTGGCACTCCTCATTCATAACAGAGTGACATGGGTGGCTGGGAGTGGGGAGGGTCACTGGCTGGCCCTCAGTTGTCTAAGGTTCCTTCCAGACCCTCAACACACACTGACCCCAGGGGCTCAGCCTGCCAGCCCAGGCCCTCCCCATGGTGCAGAAAGCAGCCCCATGGGTAAACAGGCCCATACAAATGGAAGGTCATTAGAAATCTAGTTGTGCTAATTTGGCATGACACCCTTAATGGGTCATGTTTCCACACATGAGTTGTCTCATCATCTACATTCTTTTAACAAATTTACATTTCATCTTACTCTAATTCAAACCAACTTGTCTATTTCACCACAAAAGCCAGGGGGCCTGTTTTTTATTTGCTGCTTCTTGAAGCAAACACCACCAGTGCATGGTGGGAAACTTAGAGAGCAGCCCTAAGTCTGTCCACATCCCAATCCCCAGAGAGCTGCAGTTCTGAGAGGTAAACATGACTTTAACAGGTTTTGTTGAAAAATAAAATTCTAGATACCAAAGGCTGTGACAGTTGTGCTAGGCACTTGCCAAGCAGTGAGTTGCTCCCTGCCATGGAGCACACAGCAGTCCTGGGCCCTGACCCCAAGTCGGTAGCTTCACAGACAGACGCTAAGAGACGCACCCCATCTGTAACACCCTCTAAGGGAAGGAGCCCAAGAGCACAGGGTAGTGTCCCACAGTGATGTCCTCCTACCCCCTGGAAATGGCATCTGAAGCTGTGGAAATCACCCCCAAGACACTCCTCCCATCTAAGGAGTCCACCAGAGCTGCTTTCTGCTCAGGGAGGCGCCTGTTCCCATACTTGGACCTGCCCCTGGGCAGGGCTGCCTGTTGGAACAGGGGTGCCTGGAAGCCACACAGAAGGAGGTTCAGACCTGCTCCTGCCCCCAGAGCAGGCTGATGTCAGGGCCTCCACATACAGGAATCAACAATAGGACTCATGGCCCCTGCCTTGGTCTGGGAACCTAAGGGTCTGCCCAGCCAAGGGGGCCAGCAGGATCACATGGGATGGGAGCCCACCTGTGACAGGCTGCAAGGAGAGCCCCAGGCCAGAGATGGACCAGGACACAAAAGGAAGATCACACAATGGAAAGTGAAAGGCACAACCAGGCCTAATGCTGGGCCCATGGCCTGGTTCAACTGAGGGCAGCAGAGAACCGGAAGCTTTCACAGCACCCAACAGTGTGCACCATGTGTGGGGGCAGGAACCCAGCCATGACCACCTGGGTGAGGCTCTGGCTGTGGAGGCTCCGCCCTAGGTAGGGAGACAGTGTAAGGCCTGGGGGTGCCTGGGGTCCAATCCCTGCCCTTGGAGGGTCTAGACCCCACTGTATGATCCTGAAGGGCGGTGTCCTGAGTGAGGGACCCTCCTCACAGGCTCCCCACCACAGCTCCCCTCAGGTCCCCAGGGAGTCCACAGCTCACCATACTCAGGTCGTAGGTGGTTAGGGATGTGGGGCTCATAGCCCTCCTTCTCAGGAACCTCCACGAAATCCTGATCATCCTCATCCTCGTCGTCCCCCAGAGCTTCAGTCTGTGGAAACATCCCAGTAGAAATGGAGAAACTTGCAGCCCTGTGTGTGAAAGCGCTGTAGACAGCAAAGCCTTGAGATTCCCGCTCCTGGGAGATGGCTCCAAGGCTGTTCTTGTGCCCAAATGGCGCTCTGCCAACCCCGCCCCACACTGGGGCCACTGAGCGTCCACATTAAATAGACTAAAGCAGCCCAACACCCCAGGACACTTGGGTCATGCTGCCTTCCCCATCCTCGTGTGGGACAAGCCCTACATCAAAGCTTCACAGGACAGACAGATGTGACTTGGAGGTTTAGGTGAGTTGTCCCCCAACCGGCAGAGCCGGCACACTGGCTCTTAGGTGACAGGCCAGGGCCAGCCCCCCTCATGGAGCCTCTCCCGTGGCACTGGGGTGACACATATCACAGTCAAGAAAAGAGGACGGGCACTTCTGGAATAGTCTGTCCTTGAGGTCTTGTAAAAAACCTCCTCCGTTTCCTTTCCAAGGCCAGTTTCCCTGCCAGGTGGGTGGGGGGCACTCAAGGTATCTGCTGGCCTCCCTCCCCATGAGGAGCTGCAGAATGGCACAGGAAGGCCTCCTTGCTTTCTTTTCCCCAAGAAAACCCAGTTCCTTGAGCCCACCTTGCCCCCTTCCTGCACCTGTCTTGGTGGGCACCGGCAGGGACCTGTGTGGGTGACTTGTCTCTTCAGGTCAGAGGGGCTGGCAGCTCCAGCCGACAGCAAGAGTTGCTGTGCAGCCAGCAGCAAAGTTGTTGCATGGGCCAGCCCACAGCTATATAACTGTGGGACCAACCCAAACTGGCCCACTCTGCTGGTAACAAAGTGTCAGTGACCAACAGCCAGGTACAACAGCCAGAACTGCACATCACATAGCCAGGAACGCAGAAGAGAAAAAAGCTCTGACCTCCATTGAACTTCTGAACCAATACTTCCCCCACCTCATGGTCTAAGATAACAGTGCTGTGATGGAACTCTGACCACCAGAACTTTCAGAAACAAGAAATCCACTGGCCCCAAAGATCCAGTTAAAACCTGCCTCGGCTGGGCTCGGTGGCTCAGCCTGTCATCCCGCGCCTTGGGAGGCCGAGGTGAGTGGATTGCCAGAGCCCGCGGGTTCGAGACCCGCCTTGGCAACTTGGTAAGACCTCATCTCTACAATAAACCAAAAAATCAGCCGGGCGTGGTAGCGTGTGCCTGTAATTCCGGCTACTTGGAAGGCTGAGGCAGAAGGATCGCCGGAGCCCAGCAGGTCGAGGCTGCGGTAGCTGGGAGTGGCCACTGCACTCCAGTTTGGGTGACAGAGTGAGACTCCAACTCAAAAAAACAACAACAAAAAAAAGCTGCCTCAACCTGCCTCACCATCAATGGTCAGATGTGAAGCCCTCCAGTGGGGGCCTGAGGCCCACATTCCTAAGTCCCTTCCTGTGTCCTTTGACCCCTTCAACCTTGTCCAGACCCCAAATCAGGGAGACAGATTTGAGCCCAACTCCTGTCTCCTGCAGACCAGCCTTATAATACTCTTTTCAAAAGCCAGAGCCATGGTAGTGGCTTCAGTGCACACCAGGCAGCGAGCCCACCGCTCAATGACACAACCTCACAGGTATAAACATGCTGGAGCCATTCGGTTGTGGTGGGTGCCTGCTCAGAAACGGCTACAGGCAGGCCCCTTCCTGCCTCTGCTTCCACCTGCCTGCACCCTTCCAACAGTCCCAACACACCCCAGGACAGGCCATGGGGTGTACAGTGAACCCCCCAAGTCCCATCCTTCCTGAGATCACATCCCTGCTCCTCACCAGGGTGCAGCTTAGCCCATCAGGGCAGCCGCTTCTCACCTTCAGTTCTCTCAGGCCAGGAGAGGAGACTGGCAAGCAGCCGGGGAAAGCTGACAGCCACACTCCCAGCCCATGGTGACACTCGCACCATTTCCACAGCCATACCAGCCCAGTTCAAGGAAACATCCAGAAAGGGAAATCTCTGCCAGCTGAACACCAACTAGGGGGAGGATCTTTATAAGGTTCTAAAAGGAAAAACGGACGCATGCCCTCCTTTTTAAAAACACACCCACATTAACACCTCCAAGGTGCACACAAGCACAGCTTTGTTTCTAGAGGGGACTATGAGGAAGGGTTCAGCAGACACAAAGCCCAGGTGAGCTGCCGTGGTAGACGAAGACCTCCAGCTCAGCAGAGCCAGTCCTACACACGGCCCGAAGCCCAGGCATCAGGGGCCACATCTCCTGCACCTGCTGGGCCGACGTCTGCGGAGACGCTGCCGGCCCGGCCTCATCAGAGGCAAGTGCACTTTGTTTAGGTGCAGCCTACACTGTGCATCTGGGAAGCAGGGAGACATTAATCACTGGAAACTGTAATTTTTGTTATCAGTCTAACACTGATCAAAAGGGAAGCCTGTCTCCACCGCTGACCTGTGAAACGTCCCAATTATACTCTTTGGAAATGACAGGGGCACTTAACTCCCAAGCTGAGCAAATGACGACGATCAATCACGTTTGAATAACAATGAGCCGCGGACCTGAAAATTATTTTTGTATAGAATCTGCCCAGGAATTTATGAAAGGTGGAAAGCAGCCCAAGGTTTTAGGGCATTGCGTTCTCAGCTAGTGCAGTGCGTATCAAACACTAAACAGAATTTATGTGTTTTAATTTTCTAAAAGGTGGATGTGGACTGGGGGCTACAATGCATAACACAGTGCCAGGTTTTAAATATGGGGTCATTTTCAAAAAATAGTACGCTTACTGCTCACACCCTGGAATTCCATTGGAGACTTCTATCAGATTTTCATTTCCTAAAAATCTTCAACTGCTTAGCTAACTATTAGAAATTATGCCTTCTTTCTCCCCAAATAAAACTGTTTCTTTCTGTGATTAAATTTGGAGACCTGGGATCCCCTTTCTCGGATGCCCCTCCCTTTGTGGCCCTGGGCAGGTCCTGCGGCAGATCTTTTTAGTCTAAATACACCCTGGGGCTTTCTCCCCGGCAAGAGCCATCACAGCCACACACTCCCATACTTCAGTTGTAAACTGCTTAGGAGCTGTGGTAGCCCATTCAAACCACAGCAACTTAGCATGGAGGGACTTCATTGCTGATTCTAACTCTAAGCTTGAAAGCTTCCATTTTCAGGTTTTAATTCACATGGGATAAACACAGATGTCCAAAATCTACAGTGCAGTCACCTTGGACGTCGTACCACACGAGGGACAGTCAATGACATGTCTGTGCCAAGAAAGGCAGAGAAAGCACCAAACCCTAGGCTACTGGGACACTGTGTGACCTGCTGGGTCCACACACCCAAGGTCTGTTCAGAGGATACAAACACCATGGTTACCAGGGACAATCTTCCCTAGGGCATCAGAGAAGAAGCACAGCTCAGAGGGAGACTTAAGGCCTGCACAGAAGAGTCTCTTCTAAGCACTTCCATGCTCATCTCCAAGCTCACCTCTAAGAAACCAAATAATTAAGTGGGGTGAGGCGGTAGTTGTGGCGACCTGCCCTCAAGGTCACAGACTAGGCCAGTCAGAAGGTTGTGGCCAGCTAGATAGGTGAGGGTCCTAGGAAGGAGATCACGCCCCCAGGAAGTGACAAGGCTGGAGACATCTTCAAAATGGGGTCAGACTTGTAAAATGTTCTCAAGAGCCATTAGCTTTTAACCCACCAGGAAGCTGAGTTTTCTGAATTACCTGAACAAACAACAAACGTAAAACACACCTGAGAAGCCAGATGGGCAGAGACGGGTCTCACAAGGCCGCCCCACCCAAGGGGAGGTGGGATGGGGGGTGGAACCTGTGCTCACACTTCTCCTAACAAGTGAAGGCCTGTGAGGGTTAGGCAAAGGGAGAGCCCTGCCAGCCAGCGGGAGCCTACTCACCAAGGCTGATCCCAGTGCAGGAGGTGTAGACCCTCTGCGGAGAGGGCCAAGCCCAAACCATCCCAGTGCCTCCTGCCCCATGAAATCCCCGCGGCTGACACAGAGAGGCATGGAGGAGCGCTTGGCCACTGCTGGTTTTATACAAATTAATTCTAACCCACACTTAAAAGGATTTAGAAAAATGAGCCTCCACAATCATAATTAAACAAGCAATAAAACGCTAAAATATACAATGCAATCAGTTTACAGAAGTAGGGGTAGTGAGGCTGCTAATTATTTGAGAAGGAAGGGGAGAGCGCCAACACACCAAGGGGGTATGTCCACCCGCCACAGGCAGGCCAGGAGATACAGCTGGGGCCATTAAATAAATCCTATACCATCTAATTAACTTGGTACGCGATCTCAATTACTTTTCACCCAAGAAATCACTTTTGTTCAGTTTTATGTGTGTCTGTTTCCCTTTTTTCAAAAAAAAAAAAAAAAATGATGTAAGGCCTCGTCAGACAAGTGAGTTCCAAACTGCATTTGTCTTTCAGCGGCTTGATGGCTATGCATTTAAAAACCCATTCTATCTTATAAACTAAAAATTAAACGTGCTCAGCTGTGATGGTCGTCATTGCATCTGCTATTTATATGCTAATGCCCTCCCTGGAAGGCCGTGCAAATTGCCCGGCCAGGCCAATATCTCATGTGCATCTCGGCTGCCAGGGACGCACCTTCAGAGGACAGAGGGCAGCCGCGGCACAGGGCTGACCACAGTGGGCCTGCAGGAACAGGCACCTGGTGGGTGGTGCCGGCTGGGCAGAGCACAACCTGCCTGGATGTAAGCAAAGTGTCCCAGGCACGTGCTCGCCTCTTAAATGAGAACCTAGAAATGATGCTGTGGTGAATCATAATTTTCTGCAACGCCTGCCTCTCTGAAATCGGCACTCATCACAAAAACCCTACAGTTATATCACGAAACACACTGAGTGGCAGGCTTCTTACGGCAGGCCAGGGCTGCCTGTTGGACCAAGGTCTGAGCATGTCCAGTTGCAGGCGCCAGAGATGCAGCACCACAGGGCCCGGGTCCCGAAAGGCACATCCAGTTCAATGGGATGGGAGGAAGGCTAAGGCAC